ACACCAAGCTCTCAAGATGAATGGTGACTCGGACCGCATTATTTGCAAAGCTGTTTCTCCAACCATGGAGAAACAATCTACTGAGAAGCCAACCAAAACCATCACTTTACCATACATAGCAGGTGTTACCAAAAATATTTCCAAAACCTTAAACACAAGATCCAGGTCCGATTCAATACAGTACACAAAATTTGTGATCTAATCCCATCTGTGAAGGAGGTAATTCCTGACATGCAATACCCTGGAGTTTACAAACTGAGTTGTACCTGCGGTAGCAGTTACATTGTGGAAACCAAACGACATGTCTCGGACCGTGTTCGCGAACACAAGGCAGATCTGAAACATGGCAGAACCAATACCTCTGCTGTGGCTGACCATTGTTATAACACTGTGGGCTCGCATGATATTGTTTTTTCCAAGACCAAGGTACTCTGCAAACCTTCGGGCAACTATCAAAGGTTTGTTCATGAAGCCATCCAGATATATAAACATAGACATAACTTCAATCGAGAAGATGGATACAAATTAAGTAATCATTGGAAGGATGGTATTAACCAGGTAAAGCCTTAAATGGTTGTGGTTGTTTCCATCCTACCTACCGTTTACTAGTAGATTTTTCTGAGTTACTTTCCCCCCGTGTCCCACACTTAGCTTCCTACTTCTAGCCCCGCCCACTTCCCCCCCCCCAGCCACACTTCTTATCATCCTAGCTCTCACGCAGCCCCCCTGCCCCATACCCCCCCCCTCTCTCTCCCCCCTTGCCTCCCCCCTTTCTTACCTATATAACCTCTTGCCACGGCAGCTCTCTCGCCTACTTCAGTATTTTTATTGCTGTGGTTCCACCTGATGAAGATTGCTTGTGTTGCGATCGAAACGTCGTGATTTATTTTATTTAATTTCTACCTACGTGACTTTACCGAAAGAACCAAAGAGTATAGTAATTGAGTGGATGACAAATCTAAAATTACATTTTTAATCTGCTGCTATTAATCCATATGAAAGAAGACCTGGTGAATGGACAAAAAGCCTTGAATGGAATCTAACCATTGGTTGCTTCTGATTGCTCGCTAGAGACCCCCATTGGTGGATGGCTTCATTACAATATATTTCAAATACTCATTACACTGATGTGTTATCTTCTTATATATAGTCTCCGCGCGCGCGCTTGCGAGGGGTTTGGCTCTCGAACGGTGGGCTTTATATCCCAAAAAATTTGCCAGGCACCACGCCTTAAGCCCCGCGGTGGGAATAGGCTATTCCGTTTTCTCATCCGTAAACTTTAAAATAGTTAAATTAACAAATTTGTGGCATTTTTATTTTAATTATTTACTTATTGCGCGACATCGACCGTACCAACTGACGACAATTGCCTGCGGGGGGCGGACCCTGCCAAGTGATGCGCGTTCGGTCGATCTCACGGGGGACATTTCATTTTACGTGTTTAACATGCAATAAATATACACATAACGCTGCACATTTTTCTTCACAGTCTCATGTCCTCTTCGACCCCCCCCCCCCCCAACATGATGCGTGCAGTTACTGCTATAACGTCCTTAGATATTAATATTATGAAAGCGCTTACATAGCATTATTATAGCTTGGGCGGGGGGATGGTGGGAGGGTAGCGGCCCAGCCCGCAGCCTGGCAATGTGTCACCTCCTCCGGCTGGCCAATCTAGGCGAGGCCGCAGGCTCTGCACGGGACTAGGCGTCACCAAGCCAATGTAAAGTGCAATTTTATTGAATCTTTCGCTAACAACTCAGGTTTATTGTTTACTATTATTAAACAAATAAGTTTACAAATATTACAAACATGTTTGTGTGCAGATAACAACTCTGCTTCATTTATTATTAAACTAATAAGTTGCCTAATATTACAATTATACTGTTTGTGTGCAGAAAACGATATTTTTATTATTAGGTTGCTAAATATTTTCTTTTTTTGCTGCGTTTTTATGACGCTGCGACGGTGTACTGCCAGTCTGTGCTGTGGACTGCCGCCTGCTGATTCATTCACGTCAGTGCACTGGCACTCTTATCTACACTCTTAATTTTGCTTTTACCCATTATGGGTGTATGCCAGTCTATGATCTGTTGCCTGCTTCTTTACCTCACTAACTGTACTGCCAGCCTTTCATGTCGACTGTATCCTGCTTTTTCAGCTGCTGCCCGTATTGCCAGCTTTTAATATCCACTGTAGCAATGCTTATGTCATTGAGTCAAGAGCCGAATGGCTCACAGGGCTATACCAAAATAAACTGAACTGAGTCGGCGTACTGGCAGTCTATCTACACTGTAGCCTGCTTCTCAACTTACCTGTACGTACTGCTGCTATTTTATGTACGCTTTTTTCAGCTTATTTCTTCTATGCATTTCTATTGTTTCGATTGCTCACGTCCCGCTATTTACTGATACGTAGTACTGCGATGCTGATAGCTGTGCCATCATCGGAAATTGCTGTGCACGTCCATGTGTGTGTGTGAGTCGATGTGTGTTTCAGTCTATATGTGTGTACGTGTAGGTCCATGCGTATGTGTGTAAGTCCATGTGTATCAGTGTGTGCATGGCTCCATGTCAGTGTGTAAGTCAATGTGCGTTTGTGTGTCTATGTGTGTCAGTCAATGTGTGTACATCCATGTGTATGTGTGTGTCAGTCCATATGTGTGTGTAAGTCTATACATGTGCGTGCCACTCGATGTGTGTGTGTGTAAGTCAATGTGTGTGTGTGAGTTGATATGTGTGTGTGTCAGTCCATGTGCGTGTGTGTGTTAGTCGCTGTGTGTGCATGGCTCCATGGTAGCCAGTGTAAGTCAATTGCTTTGCGTGCCTGTAGGTTCATGTGTGCGTGTTAGTCCATGTGTGTGCTTTATTGACCTGCTCAAGGCCTATGACACCATCAGTAGGCCTGGGCTCTGGGTTGCTCTTCGTGCTTTCGGAGTCCTTGACCCTCTGCTCACGATCCTTAAGGACCTTCATGATGGTGAGCGGCCGCACGTCAAACTACGTGCCTGTGAGTCAGAGCCATTCCCTGTAAACCTTGGGGTACGAGAGGGATGTCCTCTGCCTCCCACATTCTTTTACATATATTTGGACCACGTAGTTCGTTAAGCCTTCATTGCCTGTACCAGAAGAATTCCCATCTGGTACAGATACAATGGGAGGCTGATCGATGCCCGGGTGCAGTCAAGGGATGGCTCCCTATTGCTCAACCAAGTTATGTATGCCGATTATCTGGTAATTAATGCTTACTCAGAAGAGGAGTTGGACGCGCTGCTGCTGAACATGGAGCTTGCCATTAAGAGGTGGGGCCTTACCATCAGCCCCACCAAAACTAAGCACCTGCCTGGGTATTTTGTACAATCCACCCCCACAACTCATAATTGGTGATGGCCCAGTTGTGGAGAGAGTGCAGAGTTTCCCATACCTGCCCAGTGTGCTCATGACCGGCTCCGGTTTAACACCAGAGGTCTCACTCTGAATCAATTGAGCGGCATTATCTTTTCATCGGCTGTGTAACACTGTGTGGAAGCTACCTGGTCTCTCGCTCCGCACTAAGCTTCAGGTCTTCTCGCCCATGGTCATTCCCTCCCTTCTCTACGCTTGCGAAACTTGGAACCCCCCTAATGCAACATCTTCGCCGGTTACAATCATTTAGGCTGGCCTGCCTACGATCCATCCTGGGTTTAACCAGGCTGGATTGTGTGATGAGCTCACAAATCCTTGAAAGATCTGGACAAAATCCCATTCGTGACCTCCTACGGCAGGCAAAGCTGCGTTGGCTGGGCCATGTAGCCCGCATGCCCAGCCACCGCATGCCTAAACACCTTTTGTTCCGCCGGGTCGAGGGGGCTAAATGGGCGCGGCACAGGCTAGAGAAGAGATGGAGTGATGTGGTACAGGACGATGTGGAGCTGAGTGGACTTGTCGATGACTGCTACCAGCGGTGTCAAGATCGGCCTCTGTGAAGGAGCTTCGTGAACGACGCTACTGGGCAGTTGGAGGCAGTCGCTCTCCAACAACAAAGGAGGGCGGAGGAGCGATGCTCAGAACAACGAGCGGAGCACCGGGTGGCTAAAGCACAGCAAGTTAGCACAGTAGGGGGCACAGGTAGTGCATCAGCCAGGGTCTGCCCTGTGACCTCCTGCCAGCGGGCGTTCGACACTTCACGTGGCCTCAAGGTGCACATAGCCTGCCACAAGCGTCGTGGTGACGTCAACGCCACTTAGTGGCGAATGACGGTTGTTGTTGTTGAGTCTATGTGTGTGTCAGTCGATATGTGTGTGTAAGTCTATGTGTGTGTGAGTCGATTTGTGTGTGTAACTACATGTGTGTCTCTAAAGTCGATGTCTGTGTGTGTGAGTCCATATGTGTTTGTGTGCGTGTAAGTCAATGGGTTTCTATGTGTGTGGGTCGATGTCTGTGTGTAAGTCGATATGTGTGTCTGTCTTTTTCGCCCGGGCAATGCCGGGTACTTACCGCTAGTTGAAAGATAATTTGTCCATCGTTCCACTTTCCATTTTACAACCAAAAGTATTACGGGGACGAGCTCCTTTGGACTCGGTGGCCAACCTCTGGTGGTGAGGCGGTGCTATAAGCACCACAGAAGTGTGCAAGTTCATACGGGTTTGCCACTTAAATTATCTTACTTTTGCAAATTGTGTTTAAACTTTATTTTTTACATATACTGTACTGCTACTAAGCTCAATTGAAACCTTCTACTGGATAAGGTCAGTGTAAGTTTGCACAGCCTTTTTACTTGTTCCACACAGCAGCAGCACTAAGAGGGCATTTGGAGCAAAGCGGATTAAGATTCCTGGTAGACATCATATTTTGGAAGTCTCGTATATGGATGGTCACGTGTTGGTACAACTGTGTCTCTGTATGTCCCTCATGTCTCACCCTCCCCTCCCCAAATCCCTGTCACGACTCCTGGCCATCAACTACCTCGACCCCCACACCGCTTCGCCTGCTCCCCTCAAACCACCCCCTTCTCGTCCGCAGACATCATGCTCAACTTCCGAACCACTTACGTGAGCCGCTCGGGCCAGGTGGTGTACGACGGGCGCTCCGTCTGCCTCCATTACGTCAGCACGTGGTTCTTCGTGGACCTCATCGCCGCACTGCCCTTTGACCTCCTCTACGCATTAAACATCTCTGTGGTAGGTGACAAGGGGACCCTAGCGTGTGTGATGGGGGGAGGGGCCAGGGCGGTGGAATGTCGAGGTAATTGATGGCCGGGTGTGGTTGTGTAATTTAACGATCCTAGTCTTGTCAAAGCTCGTAAGGTAAGTTAGGTTGAGCTTGATTTGTACCATGGTCAGTTACCACCATTGGCTCCTGGTTAGACAGGCAATGAGTTCCGTGTCAGGTTTTCCAGCCAAGAAATCAACACAGCCTCCCAGAAGAACACCCACTGCTACATTAACCATTTCCTTAACTTTCCTGTTGTACTCTATCTATATCCTACTCTTCCTACGTGAGGTCAGCAACACTCGTACATCAATTATCAAAGTCGTTCAAAAGAAGTCAACTGATAATTAATGATATAATATAATTTACATAACAAAAATATTATTAATAATGTGAATATTTGCATTAATAATGGATATAAGCAACATTAATAACGTGAATACATGCTTACCTCAGCCACAGACCAGCTGAAGTGCATGGAGCAATGATGGCATGGGGCCATGTTTCATGGAGGTTGGCTTCCAAGCAACTGATTGGCTGGTGCAGTGAGAGCAATGATGTCATCCCTAGCAACCACTGCCACATAGCGTAGCGATCTCACGAAGACTCCAATATTTCATTTGAATGTTGCTTCCTTCATTCTCATGGCACTTCGGATTTTACTAAAATTGCAGCCTGCCAAATGTATGCAACATTTTACTAGCATCTTATGGACTCAGACCCTACGACTGGATGGTTAAGAAGCAGATTAGAGCGGGCTAGACCTTGCTTGACACTTGGACAGTACGATTGCATCTCCCTCAAATACTTTATCAATCCTCAGAAGTGGACGTAGTGAGTTTAGAGCTCAGAGCCTATACTAGTACTGCTCTACCCAACAACACCACTTACTCTCACGCGAGCAACCATTGCCCATGGCAATAGCCGCGGCCTTTAACTTGTTACATCAGCAACACAGGTGTCATTGGGTGCATCCTCGCAACTATGATGCTAGGATGCACCTCGTAATCAATTCTTAATCTTTTGGAGTAAGAGCACCACTCACTCTGCTGCAAGAAACCGAGCAAAAAAAAACACCTTTACCCATGTGGTATATGAATCACCCACCCACAATGCATTTATTTGTCATCAGACAGACATTCGGAAACATCAGTTGTTGTACTGAATTGTGTTCGAACGTCTATGCCTCCTGTCTTTTATATACTTGCACTGACCAACGTGGTGAAGTATGGTCGAATAAGCCCCATGACCCGCATGGCATGGAAAAGCCCTGATGCAGGAGTGGATTGGCAAAAGGGCTGTACATGTACAATGAGAAGGCAAATCTTCACTTTTACAAATTGTGAAAGAAAATAAAAATTCTGCCCGTCATTTTACCATCTCTCTTGCATGAGTTAGAAAAATGTTAATGTAAAAGCTGGAATATAATTGGGAAAGTGCCCGGATGGATGTGAATTCACGGTCACTTTAAAATAGAAAAGGACAGAAAGAGAAACCCAGAATAGTTAACTCGATCCCATCCTGGACAGTGTTACATTTTTGGAATAAACAGGAAAGTTTGGAGAGAACATGCGGCAAGAGTGAAAGTGAAATAATGGACAAATGCAGCGATGGAGTTGTAGCCGGGGAGAACGTACACAACGTACACTCGACGTTTGATGGCGGCTTCACAATTACCAAATGCAATTGCACAAACCCACACATGATGCTGGTTGCCATGGGCGCTGGTGCAAGGCATGAAATGGGGCGCCCATGTCCACATTCCCCCCCCCCCCCTCCATAGCCCGGTGCCTGGCCTGCCCAGGCCGTGGGCCCAATTGCAGTTGCACCGCCTGTGCGCTCGACAGCCACGCCACTGGACACTGTAGAGAAAAGTCGGTGATGATGAATGCACAGCGCTGCTTTTAATAACCAGGAGCCTGCATGGACTATGATGTTGGTTTATGCAGTTTTACCAAGGTCATTGCAAAGCCTCAGTGTTTTTAAAAATGATTTGTGGTTGTGTCATTTTCATCAGTTAATTTTGAGCTATTATTTAAAATGCACAGACTGGATGTGCTTAACCTGATCATTCCTCAATGTTATGCTTAAGGTTATTTTAGAGGTAAAAAATACTTTTGGTCTGAGCTGCTTTTCGTGTCCTCAGCAAAATCCACCAGATATTAGCACAGGAAATCTTCTATAATGTACATGCACAGCAGCCCTTTGTTGATGGTGACAGCCACTCCACACCATGTAAATTGTGGGGGTTATTAGACCACTCGGACCCCAGCCTCGGTGGTGCCAGGTCAGCACTGCGACGCTGGAGTTACCTCAGCTGATCAAGGCACCCGTATCAGTATCCCACTCATGTCATTTATGATGGAGCCTTCTCACTTCGTGCGTAGCATAGAGGTTATTAGACCATACTTCACCACACTGGTCAGTGCAAGTTTTGCGAAGGCGGGCAGCGTAGATGTAGATAGGACCTCGTTCCAGCAGTGCTTTGATAAAAAAGGGCTGCACATACACAATTTTCAGTTGGAAAAACAGGCATATCATCGCAAGTTAATGGTGATTTACCTGTTTTTCCACCAAAGGATTGGAAAAGCTAACTTTTCCATTAACGAATTAATTAAGGCTTTACTTCTATCATAAGCCAAATACTGTATTACATTATCATGAATGTGTTTATTAGCTTGTTCCTCAAAGCTGTACTTTGTATATATGATATGTATTTACAACACAAGTAACCGATAGTAGTTTTAGTGAGCATTTTCAGAGATTTATGGCTACATACTCTTTGGTTCTTTCGGTAAAGTCACGTAGGTATAAAAAATAAAATAAATTTAATCATGACGTTTCGGGCGCAACACAAGCGTCCGTCATCAAGTGGGACAACCACAGCAAGAAACAATTGCTGAAGTGGGCAAAAGGGCTGCTGTAACAAGAGGCAATATAGGTAAGAGAGGGGGGAGGAGCCATCGAGGAAAGATAGAGCGGGGGGTGTGGGGTAGGGGATTCGGAAACGCGCAAGGGAATGCTGGGGGGGGGGAGGGGAAGTGGGCGGGGCTGGGAGTGGGAGGATGAAGAAACTGGAGATGCGGATATTAAGGCAAACCATGAGGCCAGTAAGGTTTTACCTGGTGAATAACATCCTTCCAATGATTGCTTAATTTGTATCCATCTTCTCAGTTGAAGTTATGGCTATGTTTATATATCTGGATGGCTTCATGACCAAACCTTTGATAGTAGCCCAAAGGTTTGCAGAGCACCTTGGTCTCGGAAAAAAACAATATCATGAGAGCCATCAGCATTATAGCAATGGTCAGCCACGGCAGAGGTATTAGTCCTGCCGTGTTTCAGATCTGACTTGTGCTCGCGAACACGGTCCGAGACATGTTGTTCCGTCTCCCCAATGTAACACCCACCACATGTGCAACTTAGTTTGTAGACTCCAGGATATTGCATGTCAGGAATGACATCCTTCACAGATGGGATTAGATCACAATTTTTGTGTACTGTACTGAATCGGACCTGGATCTTGTGTTTGTTTAAGATTTTTGGAAATCTTTTTGGTAACGCCTGCTATGTATGGTAACATGATGGTTTTGATAGGTGTCTCAGGTGGTTGTTTCTCCCTGGTTGGAGACACAGCTTTGCGAATAATACGGTACGAGTACCCATTCATCTTGAGGGCCTGGTGTATGTGTTCCAGTTCACTGGCTAGGTGGTGTTGGTCAGAAATGCAGTGGGCCCTATGGTGTAGTGTTTTGATGAGGGAATTCTTCTGTGCCGGATGGTGGTGGGAATCAGGTTTCAGATAGGAATCTGTGTGGGTGGATTTTCTGTCGACAGAGTGTCCCAACGAGCCATCAGGTCTCTTCTCAAACATAACATCCAGGAAAGGTAGCTTACCATCCTTCTCCACTTCCATGGTGAATTTGATGGATGGGTGTATGGAATTAATGTGGTTGTGAAATTGGTTCAATGCTGGCAGTGGTGAGGCCTAGTCCCGTGCAGAACCTCTGGCCTCGCCTAGATTGTCCAGCTGGCCGAGGTGGCACCTTGGCAGGCTGGGGCTAGGCTGCTACCCCTGACACCCCCCCCCCAACCACGATCTCCCTGGCCACTCTGCAGTAATATCTACTGCCTATAGTGGTAGCATCTAGCGACTGTATAGTAGTAATAACTGTACGCATCGGGGTGGGGGGGACATCACAAGTGAAGAATTAACGTCAGCGTTTCGTGTATTTTCATAGCATTTTTAACCCGAAAGAAAATGGCCCCCTCACTCCCACCGAAGGCGTGCGACTTGGCATGGGCCATCCCCCCCACCAAAGGCGCGTGAGTTGGTATGGTCGCGCACGCGTCCTAAATAAATAAATAAATGGGAAGCGCACACTAAATCGGACTAAATCTCTGATTAAACTAATTTAAAATTGACAGATTTAAAAAAGGAACAGCGCGTGCTCACCGTAGGGCTTACGGCGTGGTACCTGGCTATTTTTTTTATGTAAACCCCACCGTTGGAGAGGCAAATCGTTCGCAAGCGAGCAAACACACACAAACAGAATTTTTTTTACTTTTTTTGAAATATAGACTAGCTTTACTACCCGGCTTTGCCCGGGACTTGGATTCACTACGCCCGTCTGCCTTTGTCTCCCCAATGGCGATGTTCACACAGCGCTCCAGTTACTCAATTGAGGCTGAGTCGACCTAGGGGAGGCCCAGGACAGGTTCAAATAATCATCACCGGTGGTGGCCGTGAGCAGGAATCGAACTCGGGTCGCCGGGTTCGTAGCGCAGCGCGCTAACCACTACGCTACCGCTCCCCACACACACACACAGACACAAACACAGACAGCGCGCTAACCACTACACTACCGCTCCCCCCACACACACACGGGCACGCGCGTCCATATGTACACATACACGCGCTTGCTGCAGACACACACAACTTTCAGCGTGCGTACGGCAGTAAACGACT